TAGGGAGAGACGGAGGCAGCCAGCACGCTGACCCTGCACTGTCACCCACTCCTCCCCCAGGCAACACCTCTGCCCAGGGAGGCTTTTACCCCAACCAAGCTCCTTCCACCATTGCATCTCTGCAGGGTTGGGGAGCAGGCTGTGCCAGCTCAGCCCTGCACCAGCTCCCAGTGCCAGCCAGGCACCCCATGGCTGCTGCAGCCCTGCTCCGAAAGGGTTACCAGTCCTTTATTAATTGCTCCTCCAGTTTTGATTAAAATCCCCTCGTTCTCCAAGCCCTTCGAGCTCTGTTACAACTGTTCATTTAATTACTTTCCACCAGCGCTCTGATAACACCAAGCCGTAGTAGGAAAGAGAGTGGATTTTATTAAGGAGAGGGGAGAAGAGGGGGGATGGAGAGAGGGTGCTCCGAAAGGGTTACCAGTCCTTTATTAATTGCTCCTCCAGTTTTGATTAAAATCCCCTCGTTCTCCAAGCCCTTCGAGCTCTGTTACAACTGTTCATTTAATTACTTTCCACCAGCGCTCTGATAACACCAAGCCGTAGTAGGAAAGAGAGTGGATTTTATTAAGGAGAGGGGAGAAGAGGGGGGATGGAGAGAGGGTGCAGGAAGCAGGGAGCTGCCTGCTCGCCCGTCGTGAGGAGCTGGCAGCACCGGGCCACTGCCTGCGCCTGCTGTGCTCGTGCCTCAGTTTCCCCACTGCTCCCACGAGGTGGGACTCACTCGTCAATTACAATTTGCAAACTTCTCCACTGAAGGCTAAAGCCAGGGTGCTCTCCCTCCTCCCAGCCCAATAGGGGATGGGCTCAGCATGATGCCTACAGGGCTGGGCTATGACTGGCCAACCAGTACCTCTGGTTTGCATACCAATGAGGGTACCTGTAGCGTTCCCATTTGTTTGTTCTCAACATCACTTCAGGCAGACGGTGTCAATAGAGTCACTAGCAGGTGTCCCCCAGGCCAACCCCTGCCAGGCACGTGCCGGCCCCCAGCACCCTCAGCAGCCCTTGGGAGAGATCTCCAGTCCAGCTCAGCGTGCTGATGCTGCCATGCATCACACCACTGGGCATGGTGTACGTCCCCCTGACACTACATCCAAAAAGTGCCACTACCATGGCACGAATCTGCTTCACCTGCTCCAGCGCAGCCCGTGGACGGATGAACTCGCACCAGCAGGCTCTCTGGCCAGTTGGGGATCACACAAACTCCCACAAAGCCAACCAAAACTTCCCATCGTGAGACCCAGCCACGCTGCTGGGATGGCAGTGCCAGATCCGGATCGGTTCTGTACCTCCGGTTGGCTCAGCAGGAGCAGAGGCAGGGATCAAGCTGTTCCCACCACAGTCTGGGGGCACAGCGTCCCCTCCGCCCCAAGGTGCAAAAGTAGTCACACCAGAGAAGAAAAAGCCATTTGGAGCAAGTTGCTTCTGCTAACCTCCAAAAACCTTGCTCTGGAGGGGATGGCCAGAGAAGGGAGGAGGTTTATGGCCAGCCCCCCACAGCAAGGAAGGGTCAGGAAGCTCTCGGTCCCCAGGGACTGCGGGGATTTCAAGCAGCTGCTGCTAACAATTAATGCCCGGGGCACGGCCCCAAGAGGAAAAGAGCAGCAGGGCCACAGAGCCAGTGCCTCGGGGCAGTGTTTTTGCAGCGAGGAGCAGGGGGAGCAGCTGCTGGGCCCTGCGACAGGAGTCCCCAGACAGCCCCAACCCCAGGAGGCAAAGGCTGGACCCCAGGAGGCAAAGGCTGGACCCCAGGAGGCAAAGGCTGGACCATGCCGGGGAGCTGACAGGTCAGGAGAGCCAAGGGGCTGCCCTCCCCTCCCCTTACCTGTTTCTCAGTCATGGCATAGAGGTGCTGGTGGTCAGGGCTCAGCACCAGGTCTCGTAGGATGGAGCTGCCCTCATGGGCCACGACGTTCTCATACTGCAGCGCTTGGTGTTTCCTCTCAGCCGGCAAGTCCACCAGGATCTGTGGGGAGAGCAAGGGGGGGTGAGAACGCATGCACCTCAGCCCCCACTCTGGAAGCAGGATGGGGAATGTGTCCCGTTGGGGATGCCGCTCCTCTGACCCACGCCAGCGTGGCCACACCATGGCCACCACAGCACAACAAAGCAGCAGCCACTCCGCAAATATCCCAGTCCTTTCTGGGAGACCAAACTGCAATATTTTCCTCCTTTTTTTGCATTCATCCCATGTCTATGCTGATCACCTGTCTTCAAGAAGGGAAGCCTCATCCATGGTTCTCACGCTGGACCCCCTGCTTCCCCCACTGCCACTCAGCCCCAAAGCCCCCTCCCAACTTGCAGCACAGCCCAGAGAAGACCCTAGCTTGCAGCAAAGCAGCAAACCCCATCTTGGTGCAGCAGTACCGAAAGCGGCTTGTGCACCACACCGAGCCCCAGCCGGGCAGGACACTGCAGTACACGCAGGCAGGGCTCCCGTCTCCCTGTCCATCAGAGGAAACACTTAGGCTCATGATTGGGGAAGTCAAGAGGGTCTCAAGGAAGCTGAGGGTCAACAGAGGTTCAGAAAGCGCCTTTGTTTCCTGAGCAGGAACGTGGCAAAGGCTTTAATCCCCTTACGGCTCACAATTACGTTAAAGCTCTTCCTAAGCACACCGGTTTCTGGCTGTACTGGCGATAACCACATCACGAGGCACCACGGGGCTGGAGGCACCCACTGAGCAGGAGCTAAACTTGCCTGCGCGACTTGCTGTAACCCGACTGCCACCTCCGTGAGCAAGGGACGCTTCCTGCTAATGCCATCCCTCACAATTCCCCCAGATTCGGGCTGTCCGGTGCCAGAGAAGTGGCTCAATGGGTCTGGTCCGCTCCCACGGGATGCGATGAGGAGATAATGGGACCAAGCTCCAGCTCTGTCTGCCCCATAACCCCGGCCGTGCCAGCGGCACGCTCTGCAAAAAACCCAGCAGCAGGCAGAGAAGCAGCGTGCCCAGCAAGATGGAGCAAAGGCTGCCCAGGATTGGCTCCATGCTGCTGCCAGCACACACAGTGATCCAGTCCAGCATTCCCAGCCTCAGGACTCAGGATCCTCCCAGAGCACAGGGGCAAACCACTGCTCTGAAGCACCCCCCGAAATGCATTGCACAGTCCTGCCCCGATCATCGTGCCCACTCCCACAGCCCAGCACAGCCATGCCCAAGCCCTTGTGTCCCCCATGGCAGCCGCCCCAGCACTCTGGCCGCTTCATCCCTCTCCCGCAATAAATCGCCGCTGGCATTTGCATAGTTCCCAATCAGGAGGATACGGGGCCAGGAAAGCAGGATCCCGGTGTGCAGCTGATTAGCATGGAAATGTATGCGGCTCACAAACAAACCGGGGCCCGTTTAATTAGAGCGGCGCCTTTGATTCACCGCCAGCCTCCTGCATGCACCAGCCCCGGATTATTTTTAGGCAGTTTTACAAAACAAATGTATTTAATTAAGAAAGAGACCCCTGAGCAACCAGAGAGTGACGAGTCCTACATAGCAGTGAGCAAAAGGGCCGCCCTCTCTCCGAGGAACTTGGCGACTGGGTTTGCAGGGCCAGGCTAACTCCTGGGAGCCCACAGCACAGCCAAAACCTTCCTTGTATGTCCTGATGCAGGACTGGAGCACCTTCACCATAACCGAAACTGGTCCTGGTACTTGCCTGCCTTCATAGCATCCTTCGTCAGAGCCCTGCACAGACTCTGCTCCCCATCACCCCACTGTGGGCACCACTGTGTGCTGGGGAACCCAGAGATGCCAAAAGCCCATCCTAAAGCCTCTGCCTGCCCTTTTCAAGGAAGGTCTTTCTGCCTATGTCCAGGACCACGGTTGCTCCTACTCCAAACACCAGAGGAGGTCAAGCCCCAGACACCTGTGGTACAGGGCCATGTGGCATCCCCTGCCCTGTGGTACCCCTTATCCAGCATCGCTCCCGGGATCTCCCCTCCCTCCCCGCATCCTCTCACATGTCACTCCCCTCCTGGCTCTCAGCTTCTCCCCTACAAAGACCTGTCCCAGCCAGCTCTCCGGAGAAGGGTAACAGGGAGCACCCTCCCTCCCTTCTTGCTACGGCAACGTGACAAACGCACCTTTCCAACCCTTTTATGGGCCGCAGTTGCGGCGCAGAAGAATCGATATAGTTTTACCCTGGTTCTAAAATAGATCTATGGCTGGATGTCGCGCTGGCAGTAATTTTTAACTAGCGGGGTAATTTCCCCATTACATTATTGCACTGCGCAGTGCTGGGAAAGAGAAAGAGATGTATTAAAAAAAAAAACCACAACAGACGTGAAGCACTTCCAGTTAATTTGAGGCTCCAGGAAGAACCTAAAAATACTCTCGGTAGGCAAACAAAGCTGGAGCCCAGCCTGCCCCACGTCAGGGTCCTCCGGTGGGGGCACACACAGGAACCCTTCTCTCCGGCACCTCTCCTCCTGCTAATGATGCTCTATAAGTGAGTTTGAGATTCAGGAAAATGAAATTTGGAAGACCTGGCATTTAAGTTGTTTTCTAGTCAGCAAAAAGGCAAGGCATGAGGGAGTTTTTGAGTTAGCTCACAAAGGCAAACCCATCCTCCCCAGCATGAGGAGATCACCAGCAAACAGATCCCAACATCATCCCACGCCCGGAGAACCCAACTGCCCACAGTACCTACTGCCGTATGGGCAGAGGTGGGAACCTGGCATCAGGGATTCCACCTGATCCTGATCCTACCTTTCCAGCAGGATTAGCTCGATGGGAACCTGCTCATTCCGGCTGGTGGGAAGGGGACAGGCTCTTTGGACCACAACATGGCGGAGAAGTGCATGGGATGCACAAGGTGCTTCCCATCTGATCTCTTACAGATGCCAAGAGGGACTGCTTCCCCCCCTCTCCCCACACCTGCGGGGTAGCTGGGGGCAGAGGAAGAGGGAGAGGATGTCGTTTAATCAGAGCAGTCCCCTCGGAAACATGCTCCTTCCTGCCCATCCTGCCTGCCTTCCCACCCAGGGGAAAAGACATTTACCGAAAATAAATAAATAAATACACCTATTAACCTTTCTCCTCATCCTGATGCTGATATAATTACTCAATACCAATAATTACTCGCACTAATTTCTCGCTCAGGATTCCTGCCCTGGTTCTTTCCTGCCTTGGGCTGGCTGTGGGTAGCAGCTCAGCAGCGCTGCCTCCTGCGAGGGGCTGCCGGGAGCCCCGGGGGATGCTGGACACTGGGGTCCTGCCGACATGGAGGAGCAGGAGCAACAGTCAGCTCGTTGGGCTGCTGCCTCGTTAAGCAAACGGAGGAGACCAGAGGCAAGAAATCACAACTCCCTGCTGGGGTAAATCATCTCAGAGCAAGCCCAGAGCCTTCTTCTGCAAGAAACCCACGCATGCGCCCTCGCCCCACCAAGCACGGAGCCCACCCCACGGGGCGAGCACCCAGCACGCTTGCTCTGCAGAGGGAAGGGCTGAAGATCTGGTCCCCCAAGAGCCGAGAGGGCTGGCAGAGGCAGCGCAAGGCCAGCAGATGCAAAGGCATCTCACTCAACCAAGAGGTCCCTCATCCCTCAGGCCAGCCATGGAGAACCCCAGCAAAGGAAGGATGAGGGAAGGGACGGCGTGCAACGCTTCAGCCCCCGGGCACCATGGCACAACGAGTGACTGCACACAGCACGCCTGGCTGGGCAGAGGCTAATTCCTCCCCAGGGAGACCCAGACAGGGTTCATGGGGATGGTCTGGTCTTGGCTGGAGAAGGGAGTTTCCATCCCATGCAGGTTTTGGGGGAGAAGGAGAGCACGTCGCCTTTCTAAGGAGCACACGGTGGTGCAGGGTCATAGCCAGACACCAGCGCCAGCATGTCCTGCTGCTGCCATGGGCCCGGCACTCCCGCCAACACTCGGCTCTCCTGTCAGAGCATGATGTTCTGTGGAGATCCAGAAGCTTCTTCAGGGCCCATGGCCAGAGCTAGAGAAGAGCTCCTGCTCCGAGGAGCTGTACCTGAAGCCTGGGACCTGAACCCCACATGAAAGGCGAGGAGAAGCGAAAACGCCGGAAGGGCAGAGACAACACATCAGAGAAGAGACAGCTCCTTCCATTGCAGCACGCTTGGTTGCCTGGGCAAGATGCCCTCCAGGCTTGTCCATAACTGCCATAACTGCTGCCCGACGGCCATTCACCAAACCACTAAGGGGGAAACCTCTCAATGTCCTTATGGCCATCAGCAATGGATGCAACGCAGAGAGGAGCATCGCCCCAGACTCCCCTGTTGGAAAGACGGGCGATGAGATGAGTGGAGGGCAGCAGCCACGACCCAGCGGCCACCCAGGGCTGGCAGTAGGTCTGAAGGACCGCAGCGGAGGACAGGGCATTACAGCTCTGGGTCATCCCCACCAGGGCCAGGGACGCCAGGTGGGGAGGCAGGAGGCGCAGCCAGAGAGGGAAGGCAGCTGCAGACATGCCAAGGCTGCTTTCGGATCTAACATGTGCTGGTAGGGCCAGAGGGTGCTGGGGTTGGTCACCTGCTCCCTGAGAGACTGAAAACACGTGCTTGGAGGCATGTGTGGAGGGTCACCAAGAGACATTGTCTCACTGCAGGAGACCACCGGGAAGAGGCAACTCTTCACCGCCCCGCAGCAGGTCCCCCCGCAGGGCTCTCCCACCCTACCCTCCATCTCCCTCCCTCTGGGCTCTTGAGGCCCCATCCTGGGTGCCAAGCAGTCCCTCGCAGACCCCTCCTCCGGGCAGGAGAAGTGCTCAACCACGCTTTGTACTCTTATCTGTCCAGGGCTGTGATTAATTCGCAGCGGCTGGGGGGGCCCCCTCGCCCCCCCTGCCACACTTCAAAGGCAGCGACTTATCTGCCTGGAACACGCTCCGCAGCCTTTTCACGGGGACCCTTTCCAGTTCCACGGGGCTTGCACGGTGCTGACGGGCAATGCAAAAGAAGGGCTTATTTAACAGGAGTGCATTTCAAAGCCTCCCCCTTCCCTCCCAACA